TTTGTAGCTTAGCGGTTAGAGCGTTGGCTTCCGGTAAAGGCCTTCTCTAATAAGCTTGTTCAGATCCCGCCGAACGCCTCGAGTTTTATCACAATTGGGTCAACTCAGAAAAAATAGTATTCATGGATAGTTTGGGTAATGCATGAACATATTGTATGTAATGGGTTATGTTTGGAATGATCGAAAGTTTCGTTGTCAAGGAAACAAGCGTAGTGCCGAAAGAGACACAGGCTCGCGTAAGTGAAATTGTATGCGTAAGTTTGCTTGCCAGGCAGACCAGGAAGGAAACCCATTCTCCCCGGACTTAACTTTTTGAGATTCTCTATTGCATGCGGAGTAACGATTCGGGCTAACGCCAAAGTCTTTCACAGCGCAAGAGATTAATAAAACGATTGAAACTTGGTACATGTCTTAACAATTCGCGAGTTTCTATCATCATCATTTGATTTGTCGCCTCAGTCCCGCATATTCTCCTTGATAATCATTTTTAGTAATAAACGTGACTGCCAAAAACTCTTTTTAGAGAGTGACAGCGTTACAAGGAAATTCGCCCCATTGTGCTTTGTGGCTTAATCTCGGTAGAATAGCATGACTGACAAAGGCCAGGGAGACTAGAATGGTAGTTTCTAGTTTGTTAGGCGTCACCTGCTTGCCATACCCAATCGCAGGTAACCCCCTATCACAACGAATCGCTAACGGACTGGTTAGGCAGTTGGACTTCTAACCAACCGGTTGCAGGTTCGGGCATAGCTGGATGATGAGTGCTACTAAAGCCGGAAATAGTCATTCTAGTCTCCCTCCTCTGTGTCGTAATGCTATTATTTTTGGCTGGCAGTAATCACGTCATCGCCCGTTGTTGAATGCGCGACAAACTCCTAAAGCCATTCGGCCAACGTAAGCTGTCTGAGATGTCGGAATGAAAGGTAGCTGGAACGCCTAGACTTTCCCTTCGCTTTTTTACTACCATAGTTCTAAATTGGCTTATTTGGGGGTAGACTTGGCGGGTGCATATTTCGAGCAAATTAAATTTTCCACTGGATACCAAAGTATGGTTCAGTCAACGAACGACGCACCCACCCGCCTTTTGATCCGATTTGGGTTTGAGGTCGATCTTGTGGGGGTTTTGGTGGTGGTGTGGATACTGAAATTTGAAAATGTTAGGCCCACCTCGCCCCTGGGCAGTCCACTTGACGTAGGCTGATCTGCCGGCGAGGCAAAATGCTCCTTTCTTGTCGCGCATTTAACTTTCCTCAACAGAAATCATCAATTACTGTGATTAAGGCGCTTTTGGGAGTGCTGCTCAATAGGTCATCTACAAGTTGTCGTAAAACGCATATTTGGAAACCAATAGATGACACAATTCGCCTGTAAGAAGCTCAAACTAAGGCTTACTAATACCGGTATAAGTAAAAGTACCATCTCTAAACAAATTAATGAAACTTTATGTTTACTGTAACCCTTAACTTCGCTTAAGGTTGGTCACCATCCTTTCAAGGCTTTTGTACACGCGCTTTTATCGTTTTACGCAAATTGTGGCACTCTGCATAACTAAATAGTTCTCACTGATTGGACATTTAAACGTGAAAACATTTATAAATGTTTCAGAGCAAGGCGTCCTTTGGAAAAATGATGAAATGTATTCAGTCAATCTGCCACACGGGATCCCCAGGTCGTCGTCAGACTTGAGAAAAGTGTGCAAAGAACAATTAACACTTCAAAGTGCTGATGCAGCTATAGTTACATATAGTTATGTAGACGACCACATAACTGCTTCAGCACTTTGAAATGTTAATTGTTCTTTGCACATTTTTATCAAGTCTGACGACGACCTGGGGATCCAGGGTCGAAAACTGACTGAAGAAATTTCATCATTTTCCCAAATGACGCCTTTCCTTGAAATTGCATTTCTTGGGATGCCTGCCTTCCAGTTTATACTAAATTTATAAATACTTCATATAAATTTGATGGCAGGCATCCCAGAAAATGTAATTTGAAGGAAAGACGTTCTTTGGGAAACAAGATAATTTTATTCAGTAAATATTCGACGCTGGATTCTCAGGTCTTCGCTAGACTTGAGAAGTGGCTATACATAGCCTTGATGCAGGACACACCCTGGCATGGGACAAAACACGGATCGTCGGAGTTTTCCCCTCCAAAAAGACTGAGAATTTATTGACGGCATGCACTCCGATGATGCATGCATCAACCAACATATCGAGTTGTATGGCAAAGAAAGATGGAAGAGACAAGAGCCGATCGATACATACTGACGCAAATGGCAGCCGTCACTTAGCCCTCACACAAAATGGCTATTGATTTTTTATATACGTCGGAATTTTTAATTGTTCTTTGCACATCTTCTCATGTCTGCTGACGAAATAGGGATCCAGTTTTGAAAATTTACTGAATACAGTTATTTTTTCCAAAAGTGCGTCTTTCCTTCAAAATTATAAATTACTTAAGCAATTAAAGATAAGCACTTTTGCATAGTCTTTTTGGAGGATCTCCGCAAACTTAGAAGATCTGTGAAAAAATCACGGAAACAAAAACGCCGGATTCCAATGAAATTTTTGGAAGTCCGTGAATTCACTTATTCGGTTAAGCAAATGCACGATGTAAGAAAGAAATCAGAATATACTCCGGTAAGTTACTGGCTTTAGGATTACCCTATTAACATTGTGGGCAGCGCCACCAACAAATGAGAATTATTTATTTCAATTTTCCTATTTAAGGTAGCCTCTTAAAAAATATGAAGCCCTCTTCAAAATACTGTCTGATAAACTTTTTTTAATGGGATTTCCTCTGGCCGAACCGTTTTTATATCCCCCTGAACTACTGCTGTTAAATGCCTCTAGTGCATTTTTTTATTAACCACTTCTATGTTCTAAAGACGCTTACCCCCCCCCAAAAAAAAAAGCTTTTATTGATCCTTGGGAAAGGAAGTCACAGATGGCTGAATCGGGCAAGAACCGGCGAAGAAAAGTCGTTATCTTGCTATTTTTGCCAGATCTGGTTGATTTTGCATGTTGTGTGCCTGTTTTCATTACTGTTTACTTTTGTTTTCATTTACTAATGTACGCTGAATTCCCGGTGCTCTAGGTTTTGTTAGCAGAAATGCCAAATTAAAAGGTGGCTTAGTTCTACAAATATTCCCATGTTTACCCTGAAAAGTCTGTTTGAAGATCACGTTGTGCTCACCGGAATGAGTTTATCTGCTCGCTGACGTGGGCGTCTTTGCATGTTAGGCATTTGTTTTATTCATAACTTTATGTTGTTCTGGTCATCATATTCCTTTCGGTCCAAATTCTATTTTTAAGAACTGACTAGAAAATCATCCTATTTCATTTAAAAAATCATGCGTATTGTTATATGAAAAGAATTGTTTGGTCTTTCGTGTACATTCAGTTAGGTTATGACTTTTTTGAATAGTGTTAGGTAGGGCATTCTATATTTTCGCATATCTTATAGAGTAGACATTTGATCGTTGGGATGTTCTGACTTTAGGGATTTGTATAGTGTGACAATAACATGTTGCCAAGGAGTGTAACCAAAGCAAGTCTCTACTTGGGGAACTGACGCACCGCCGCGTCATCCTACGCCAACACCGAAGGGCCAGATGGCCGAGCAATCATCAAGCCCGAGTCTACCATGCGGATGAACGTTCAGCAGGTCAGAGCCCGCATGCTGTTCATCAAACTACTGACACACAAGAAGGCAATTACCGTTAATTGTCGTTGTATGTTTGCAGTCATTACTGTATTCTATAAATACTGCAAACTCCTGTGCATACGCTACCCATATCTGCTACTGCTCTCTGACTATGTCTCTGATGAAGAATCCGCAACGAATCTCGAAACGACGGGCGTATAAAAGTATTGTCCCAGCGATCGAGTCGTTTTCTTCTCAATTACTTCCTGGGAATCACATGTTCACTTGTATTAGTATGTTCGTTATTTCTGGTGAGACGGGGGCCTTTATTGTTTGTGTACATATTAATGTCGAGGATGCCAAGGCCATGTATTACTTTGAATGAGAAGTTAAGACCATTTTGGAGTCTCCTATGCTTATAGGGTTTAAGACAATGTCTATTCTGCATTATTGTATATGGAGAAGGGCATTACTGAAGAAGACAAGGGAGACTGGGATGGCACTTTCTGGCTTATTAGCCGTCGTCACCTAGTCATGCCCAACTCAATTATTGTTCCAGAAATCGATGCCCCACTCGAGTTTCAAACCTACGACCTTGTTAGTTAGAAGTCCAAAGCTCTAACCACCGTATTACGTGCTCGCTCTCTTTTCGCTTTTTGATCGGAAGTATAAAGTGGCTATATCATTAGACGCCTTGCGGCGTAGGCTCTAGTGTGAGTTCCAAAGGTACCATGGACTGACGAGTGTGTCCTCTAACTGATCGGTGTACGCCTATCTGCCCCCATTATTATATATGAAAATCAGAAGTCATCGCATTTAGACAGCGATGTAGTAAAGCGTCTCCGGATTCTTTCTAGTTTTTTTCTGTCATGAGACCACATCATACCAAAAAGTATTCTTTTCAAGTTAAAACGTGTCTAGTGAAACCTGGATGAGACAAAGGACTACGAACATTCGCCCTCCGGCACAGTACTCCAGGAAGTGCAAGCACTCTCTTGCCCAAACTCTAACGCCTCCCTCCCCTCCCCCCTACCATGAACTTAACCCTAACCCTGACCGTGGCCCTAGATACAGCACAACCCTGGCCCTCAGCTTAATCCTATCACTAGCCCCAATCACCCTGCAAAGTGGCGCAGAGTCCCCGAATGGGTGGTGGAGGGTTCTAATCCCCGCATCTTGCCGAAAACTTACCCTCCAGTTGATAGCGTCTGTGCGATTTGAAATGCACGTCCAGCCGGTCCAGCTCTCTGAAACGTCAGCGAATAAGTAAACTAATTCCGGTGAGCACAACATGATCTCTGATTCTTATCCCGGAATTCTGACTTTTTCAAACTTGAAGTATATTTGGCAAACACCTATTTTCGGC